TCCTAATAAAAGCGTGTCTAGATGAAAGGTGTGTTTGTAATTGCATGTGATTTTTACTTTTATTCTAAATAGAATAATTGAATGTATTAACGTTATGGCATTCTCATAATACAGACATTGAAAAATCTACCATTTCCCCTTAATACATCTGTGGGCAGAATGGTCTCCATCATGCAATTCGGTATCAAGCTGTTATAATATATCAATGAGACGTACAAGGGTTGAATTTAGTTTATTGTCATAATCGGTCCTAATGGCGTTTGTGTCTGGTTTGGTACCATGAAGATAAACGAGAACACTATTGGGGGGACACAAAGTTGTGTTGGTTTTGTATAATGCAAAGCACATGCCCAGGTAACGTTAATATTAACACCTGAATGATCTTGTTACACGCGAAGTTTGTCAGTTTTCTTTTATTTTCCTCTGCTGATATCTTTAGTGATGAGTGTTTGAATGTCATTTCTTTACTATTGTTAGATTTTACCCAAGTTCTTTTATTGAAAGCGTGAGAAGTGAAGACAGAAGAGGACTGTTTAAAATCAACAGGAAGTTTACTCAAAGTCTGGACACAGGTGAAGTCTTACAGCGCTGGGATGTGAGAGACAGAGTTCCCGCAGGAAATTCATTCTCTGAACAATGAGTTACGTTTTCTCATGACATTTATCTTTTTGGGCTAGTTCTGCCCTGGACAGAGGTACAACATTTCACACTTCATAATCCTATTGGCCATTTGGCGTGAGCAGGTCAACCCCTGCCTGCGTCTGCTTGCTGAAATGTGATCTAAACCCGGTGTGAGTGTGTGTGTGTGCGCTTCTCAGGTGGCAGCTTGATCGATGAACACTGAACAACGGGTGGTCTGGGCTGCAGGCCCCCCTGTGTGTTTGATGCTATTGTAGGACCTAGTGAGTATGCTAAACGGGCCAGGTGGTCATCTCAGGTTGTAGGCACCCTGTCTCTGCAAGATACCCCATGACAAATGAGAATTTGGAATATGCTAAGTGGGTCTAGGTGAGGGTGAAAAACAGGTCAACAGGTCTTTGTTAAAATGTAAAATAGGCTGTCTGGTTACTTGAAGATAGACATCCTGTCTCTACAAAATTTGTAATAAGCAAGGAAAATAAAGGTATGAAAAGTAACTAAAGGAAACTAAAATTATGAAAAGTAACTAAAGCTTCTAAATGGGCACGCCTCACAGCCTCTCCTCAGCTGGCCCTGACTGGACCGGGACCCACACGCTGGGGGGCGTGAGGCGCGCCTCACAGACTCTCCACAGCTGCGTCCTAGGTTCCCGAACCCACCAGCGGGGGCCTGTACCGAACTGGGGCCACACGCACACTGGAGGGCGGGAACCCGGGGGGGTCGCCCCTCACAAAGGTTCCCAAACCCGCCAGCGGGGGCCTGTAATGGCCTACTACTATATAAAATGTAATTAAAGCAAATAAAATTATACTGACCATTTCCAGATATTCATACGTCATTACGCCCCCCACCTCCTCTCTTCTGCCATCTGCTTATTTCTGTTCCGTTTTCTCCTCTATTCATATCACTTTTTGGTTTCTCCTCTCCTCCATACTCCTGAAAAGAAACAAATATAAGACAAAATGGAATATATAGAAATTCAGATGAAGTGGGAACCGAAGACTACATAAAGTCGTTAACATCATTAGATAAACTGATATTTACCATGCACATGAAAGGTCTTACACTTCATCCTGCCCTCCGTCACTTCCTCTCTCCTCACTCTGAAAGATAAATAGAAGACCAGAGAAGCTGTAGCTCAGTTTTTAAAAAACTAAGGCACAGATGATTGGTTCATGACTACTATATAAAATGTAATTAAAGCAAATAAAATTATACTTACCTGTTTGAGATGTTAAGATGCCATTATGCACCCAACTCATTGCCTCTCCTCCTCTCTACCTGTTTCTTAATTCCTTTTTCTCATCTTTTGTCATTTCTATACGATTATCAAAATAGTTGTGATCCAAAGTAGGTGATCCAGAGTGCAGCCTGTATGTGAGCCGGGAAGTTTCTGGGGTCAGATTGGGATTAATAAGTTTTTTTTTTTTGTAAATCAGAGATTAGCTAACAAACAGACAATGTGGAAAATTATTTCGATGGCACATTTTATGTCTCACATTTATGGTTTGGGATTAAAGCTATAAACTGTACACTTACGTTGACCTGTAAGGAGGGATGGTTTTCTCGAGGGTTTTAGTTTTTGAGATACCCAAAGTAATCCGTTGGTAACTCACATTTCTTTTAGCGATCACAGTCGCGAGCCTCGCATATTGCTGAATACGTAGCATAATTAAAAATCACACCTGTCCTGTTGAATCCATCTGGTCACGTGCAGAGGCTCGTCAGTGCATGTACGGGCAGCAAAATGGTTTTAATGTGTCTCCGGTTCCGTGAAATAAACTTGCAAACCAAACTTGAATGTTGGCTGAGTCCTTTGATCTTTCAGCCATTGACATAACATCCAACAAGTGCGTAACAAGTGAGGCATCCTTCTGGTTTAGGGCTCAAGGTGTCCACCATTAACCACAGCATCCCTGGCTCTTGTTCAGCCAGGAACCTTTCTTCTCTCCTCTTATTTCCTGCCACCTTGCTACTACCAC